AAAAAAAAAAAAAAAAAAGGGAAACAAGGAAATTCTGTCCTTTGCAGTTGGTGTGTTGTCGCTTAAAGAACTTGAGTCATCTAGGCTAATAAATGCAATGCCTACCTTTCCTGTGTAGGTCTTTTATATGATAATAGAAATTCTGCTATTATTCTCGTAATTAACATTTTCATTAAGTTTTAAAGTCATGAAATTGCAGCAGTGTTGTGGAGATAAATGTTACTGTTGGGTCTCAGTCATTATTATGAAAACCTTGCACCTTGTTGGCTGTATCCCTGCTCCAATAAAGAGCCACTGCTTTAGAAAGTATCTGCGATTTGCCGGGTGTGGTGACTCACACCTGCAATCCCAGCAGTTTGGGAGGTGCAAGTGAGAGGATTGCCTGAGCCCATGGGTTTGAGACAAGCCTGGGCAACATGGCAAGACCTCGTCTCCACAATAAATTTTTTTCTTTTTTTTTTTGCTAGGTGTGGTGGCACACATCTGCAGTTCCAGCTACTTGGAAGGCTGAAGCAGAAGGATCGCCTGAGCCCAGCAAGTTGGGGCTGTGGTGGCTGTGAGCATGCCACTGCACTCCAGCCTGGGTGACAAAGTGAGACTCTGATTAAAAAAACAAAAACAAGTATCTGCAATTCGGAGAAATATTTGAACTAATCTGAAAAATCTGGATACTCTGATTATCTCAAATCAGAACTAACGATATTAATGGTTCCAAATGGCCTACATGATTTTTCTCTGTTAACATTGATTCAAATTCCAGGTAAATATTTATTTAGCATCTAGTAGATACCTATAGCAATGCACACTGGGAATATAGGATTTATGTCTCTACTTGTAAGGAATACCCAATATAGTGAGGAAGACAAGCCATAAATATATACATCACGATAATAAATAATGCAAAGCAGGATGAAGTGTCAAAGGTGGGCAGAAAGGATGGTGAAGGCAGAGAAACGTGAAATCACCATTTTCTAAAACCCTCCATATGAAACAGTTTCGTCTCGTAAGTTGGGCATTAAAAAATAGGGATGGGGCCAGGCTCAGTGGCTCAGCCTGTAATCCCGCGCCTCTGGGAGGCTGAGGTGAGTGAATTGCCTGAGCCCGCGGGTTCGAGACCCACCTGGGCAGCGAGACCTTATCTCTACAATAAATCAAAAAATCAGCCGGGCGTGGTAGTACGTGCCTGTAATTCCGGCTACTCGGAAGGCTGAGGCGGAAGGATCGCCGGAGCCCAGCAGGTCGAGGCTGCGGTGGCCGGGAGCGGCCACTGCACTCCAGTCTGGGTGACAGAGTGAGACTCCAGCCCAAAAAAAAAAAAAAAAAAATAGGTATGATGGCCAGGCACAGAGGCTCAAGCCTGTAATCCCAGCACTTTGAGAGGCCAAGGCAAGAGGATTGCTGAACTCTTGGGTTCGATACCAGTCTGGGCAACTTGATGAGACCTCATCTCTACAATAAATCAAAAAATAAGCCAGGCGTAGTAGTGCATACCTGTAGTTTCAGTTACTTGAAAGGCTGAGGTGGAAGGATCGCCTGAGCCCAGCAGGTGGAGGCTGTGGTGGGCATGAGTGTGCCACTACACTCCAGCCTAGGTGGCAGAGTGAGACTCTGACTCAAAAAAAAAAAAAAAAAAAATAGAGATGGTCAGGTGTTGTGGCTCAGACCTATAGCACTAGCACTTTGGGGTGCTGAGGTAGGAGGATTGCTTGAGGCCAGGAGTTCAAGACTAGCCTGAACAACATAGCAAGACTCCATTTCTACAAAAATAAAAATTATCTGGACATTATAGTACAAGCCTGTGATACTAGCTACTGGGGAGGCTGATGCAAGAGGATCGCTTGAGCCCAGGAGGTCAAGGCTTCAGTGAGCTATTATCACAGCACTGCACTCTAGCTTGGGTGACAGAACAAGACCCTATCTAGTTAAACAGTAAAGAGAACCCTATAGGGAGTAGTGGGATTTACAGTTGATCCTCATTATTCATGGATTCTCTATTTGTAAATTTATTAAAATATGTGTGTAATTCCAAATCAATATTAGAGGTGTTTTCACTGTAACGCACAGAGCAACAGAGAATATGAGTTGCCCAATGCCCATGTTCCCAGCTGAGTTTGAACAAAGCAGTGCTCTGTCTTCTTGTTTCAGTTTTCACACTATAAACACATGTTCTTTTTGTAGTCTGTGTAATTTGTGCTTTTGCATTTTTGTGCTCCATGTTAGGAATTTTGCTGTTGAAAATGGTTCCCAAGTATAATGCTGAAGTGCTGTCTAGAGCTCCTAAGCACAAGAAGGCTGTGATATACCTTACTGAGAAAATATATTGTTATGTACACTTTGTTCAGACCTGAGTTATTGTGCTGTTACTTGTGAGTACAATGTTAATGAATCAGTAATACCTATTAACTAAGAAACACACATAAAACAAGGTCATGTATCGATCAGTTGGTGAAAATGTTAAGGACAGAGGCTCACAGGAACCTAGCTCTGTATTTCTCCTAGGAGCAACTGTTCAGTACAGTATTCAGTATTCAGTATTCAGTAACTCAGAGTTCCTGGCAACTCTGTAGAACATTATGATCATGAATAATGAGAATCGACTGTATTTCTTCAACTGGATTTTTAACTGTCCTTTTGTGCATGTGCTTTGGCCTTATTTTTCCTTCTTTGAGGATAATCATATTCCCTAAAGAGCACAGGCTGGTACTTCCATAGCAGATTGGATAGCCCCTAAAGACAAGGCCCCCCAACACAGGGCCTTTTTTACCTCTATGTGACCTTTGTTCAGGTCACTAGCTCAGGAGACTACTTTCTTCCTTCCCACTGACCTTTTGAATCAACCAGTGGTAAAGTCTTGACTGTGGTGGTCTGCAGCAGGGTTTGCAACTCCCCATATGTGCAAGAAGCTGAAACAAACTTCACCTCACGTACCATGATGTCCTCAACAAAGATGGTAAATTTGCTATAAAGGGAGAAAGCATGATGGGTTAGCCCTACCATACATCTAGCCTCTTCTGTCCCTTCCATTCCTCCCATGAGATCTGTCATACAGTCACTCACAATATTTATTAAGTACATGGGGATATAAAAATAATTAAAAACAGTGGTTCCAAATGTTGACCCTAAGCTCAGTCTCAACCTCAGACCCCCATCCCCCAGCAGCTCTGAACTAATTTCAGCTAGTGCCCCTGACCTGAGCTGGTTCCAACCAAGGTCAGGCAAGTAGGGTAGCTTCTTGACCTGGATGATGCTGTCATAGAGGGAGGGCTGCAGACTCTGAGCCACCATGTTGGCCAAGATAACAGCCACCATCATGGGTAGGATGTGAGCGATCTGACCCGTTAATTCGAAGCAAATCACAGCTGTGGAGACTGTGTGGGACACGGCACCAGTCAGTGCTGCTGCTCCTAGAATGACACAGGAATATACCTGTGGGTTAGGGCTGCTGTTCTTAGCATGGAGGGAACATGGGGACGGGATGGGAATGACATGGGATGGGAGACACGACCCTCTGGTCAGTGCCAGCACTCCTGAGATAATGATTTGCCAAGAATAAGGGCTAGAATGCTGAACTCTTAAAAAGCATCATTTTTATCTCATTCTATAACACAAAATTCTAAGTCACAAAATATTGTGTGCACGAGAACTTTCATTTATAACATGAAGATAGTGATATCCCAGTCTTCCTTGCTTTTAAAAGTTCAGATCATTCCTGACTGGGCATTTAAAACCCAGTTATGACATTTTACCTTGGGCTTCAGGTGTTTATGCCAATAATTAGTGAGTGAATAGAGTGAAACCCAAGAATCATGCTGTACACTTGGAGCAATGAGAACTGTGCCAGATCCTATCCTATTTTCAACTGCATGAGTAGAGATTAATTCTTCTGGAATCCCATGCTCTCAGTTATAAGTGCAAGGGATCATTAAATGACTTCTAAGGCCCTTGCAGATCTACAGGTTATGATTCTGTAAGTTCCCTGAAGATGGAATCTGTCTTGCTTATTTTTGGTTGTTTTCCCACCAACCAAAATAATCCCTTGTGCATTAAATATGTGTGTTATCTAAATATGGAAGACCTAGCCTGTGGGGAAAATGTTGGAGAAGGCATGCATAAAAATGTAACAGGAAAAAGTCACAAAAGGGAACTACAGGGAGGAATGACAATAGGGAATATTGTGTACAACATACTTCAGAACATAAACGATCATAGGACATGTCTACTAGTGCACCAGAGAAGATGGGAAGGGATACCTGAGAGGCATGAAGATGGGCAATAAGAGTGGATGACTTTTATTGATGAAAGAGGCTTTTGTAAATAACTATGATGGGGAGGAGGATACTGTGTGAGCTAGAAAGCTGGTCAGTGCTTCTCTATCTAGCAGAGGCATGGCTTTAGATGTTATGAAATTTTGGTGAAGAGAAGGAGGGAGGAGGAATAATAATCCTGGGATTATATTGGTGTTTGGCATCACTCTATCCTGGAAGTCATTTTAGAATAAAGAAATTAAGGTTCAGGAAGACATCTAACTTGCTCCATGGTCATTCAGGTCACAAGTGGCTGGGGTAAGTCTAGAGCCATGTTTCTTAGCTCTTAGTCCCCATCAATAGTAGCACATCTCAGGTTGAGTATCTGAGCAACTCACCTGCATTGCTTGTTCCATGATATTTAGGAAGGAATGACAAAACCTTACCAAACATCCAGACACAATTCCAGGTCTTTTCATCTTTATGATCTGATTTAAGCTCCATAATCCCTTTTCCACATGGGGAAACTAAGGCTCACAGAAATTCAACAAGAGCTCATGAGAATCAGAGCCAGGAGTTTGTTTTCTGAATAAAAGTTGAACTAAATAGTATTCAATTAAAACTATACTGAGTAGCCTGGAATGAAGATGCTGTGGGAGAGTTTGAGTGTAGAGATTTGGGGCACTCAATGTTTGATTACAGGGGGTGGGAATGTGTCTCACCAATTACTGCATAGCCCCCAGGTAGGATCTTGTAGATGATATCATCAAATAAGATACCATCAGGGAATAGCATGGCCATGATCTCTCCTACCAGCCTTCCAAATGCAGCTCCTAGAAGGAAGATAAAAGGAGGGAAGATGTCAGAAGATCCAAGTTCTTCATCCCCTATGTTTTCAAAGCCAATGTCTTCTTGAGCGCAAAGACCAAATGCAAACCCCCAGTACCCAGGTCTTTCTTTATTTTTCCTGTACCTTAGACTTTAGCTGTCAGTGAGATCCCATTAGAACTTACCTAGCACAAACACAGGCATGAAGCCTCCACAGGGTATGGGCATTGTGGTAGCCACGATGGACATCCAGAACTGGGATAAAAAAGAAGCATCAGAATATCGTCTCAACTCTGCCAACATAAACACACACACCCAACTCCCTTTCCACTGTTCTCCTTCCTGCAGGATCCTGAGATAGCTAATCCTTCTGGAAACCACCTTATCTATCAACCTTCCTCCAGAACCCCAAACCATAACTCTCTCAGTCTAAGAGATCACCAAAGACAACCCTATTAAGAAAGTTCCTCAGCTGGGCTCGGTGGGTCAGCCTGTAATCCCGCGCCTTTGGGAGGCTGAGGTGAGTGGATTGCCTGAGCCAGTGGGTTCGAGACCCACCTGGGCAACTTGGCGAGACCTCATTTCTACAATAAATCAAAATTAGCTGGGCGTGGTAGCGTGCGCCTGTAATTCCAGCTACTCGGAAGGCTGAGGCGGAAGGGTCGCCGGAGTCCAGCAAGTCGAGGCTGCGGTGGCCCGGAGCGGCCACTGCACTCCAGTCTGGGTGACAGAGTGAGACTCCAACTCAAAAAAAAGAAAACCAAAAAAAAAAAAAAGAAAGTTCCTCCATCTGGATAATCCAAACCTCTCCTACCTTGAGTGACTAAATTTGCCCTTTGGCAATCTAAGTGTACTCTCCTTCACTGTTTCTAGTCCACTGTACCCATTTAATCCAGAAAGTTCACCACAGCTAAGTAGCCTGAAACTTCTGAAGCTGGACGATATTGTTTCCTAGTCAGGTTATGTTTCCAAAAAGGAACTCTGATTCTAGTTGGCAGACACCTTAAAATTTTAGTCTTATTGTGTGATTAGTTTAGCTTCAGTAAGATCATTTACAGAACCACTTATATGATGAACCACACAGGGGAATCTGGAAGGAAGACTGCCCTTACTGAACCATTTGGTCTGACATCAAATCACCTTACATAAGGATCAAAAATTAGATCAGTCCTGTCTCTACTGGAAGGGCAAAATTGATAAGTCAGCCAATATCATAGCAAAGATTTCCAAGGCCAACTTTGAAAGGCAGAATTCCAATAAAAATTGGGTCAATTTAGGCAAAAACAAGATGTACATTCTGAGGGAAAGAGTGTAAAAAAAAAAAAGAGAGAGAGAGAGAAATAAAATGGAAAAAGTGTTTTTTCCATTCTAAAAATCCGTAAAAGAAATATAAGTTTGAGATGCAATATATAAACTAAGCAACAGGTTTGTGTCTCACTTTCAAAAATAAGTAAGCCAATTTTAGAAAAGTACTTCAAAATAATTAGGTGCAAGGTGGCAGCAGCTAAGGGTCAGAACAAACTGCCAGGATTAAGGTATTCACAATTTGAAAACTGCACTTTAAACTAATGAGAAATACATTTCTTAATTTTCTGAACCTTAGAAAGAATTCCCCTCAGCCAGGGCTGACCTCGGGATAGTTACAAAGACTCTGAGAAAGCTGCATCCCAGAAGCTCTGAGATGAGGCAAAACATATATACTCCTTCATGTCAGAATATAATTACTTAAAGCAGTGAACTGCAAAGGTAAATGTGAAAAATGAAGAAAATATAGGTGGAGGATTCCCTGAGGAGAGAGAGTGTATCTTGTTGTCTCTGTCTTCTCTCTCCTCTAGCATAGTACTCAATAAAGGTAGGTAGGATATAGACAAGGAAGTAGGCATATAGGAAAGAAGGAAAGAATCAAGATAGACTGATCAAATAGTATTCACACAAATCAGAAAAAGCTTCTCAGAACTAGTATTTGCTAAAACACCTAACGGTAATGCTCACCCAGGAAAACTTATTTAAAATACAGATGACCAGACCCCACTGGAAGCTACAAGATCAGTCCCTCTAGACAGGGCTCTAGGCACATGTAGTTTAAGCTTCTTGAGTGATGCTGACATTTAACAATTGAGACCCCTTCAACTATCCTGTACCATCAAGGACATAGAGCCATAAGGCGTTTTGTTGGCTCAGGTTAATCTGAAATCTCTGGTAATTCAGACAATAGGTGACCGATGGATCTGATTTCAGAGGTTAAACTTTAGATATCCCCTAAGACATGTGTAAGAATAGTGTCAGGATCAGAAGGCATTAGCGTTATCAACTTCTATAGCACAAAGTATGACACTGGAGATACGCAAACACAAAATAAAAGATCTGGAAATGATGTGGAACACAAATAATTTCCAGGAGTTTAAACACTCAATTCTAGAGAACTGGGAAACTAAGGACCTATTATTACAGATTCCACTATATTTAGTCCCATTGTCATAGATTCCACTTATTCCTTTACAGGAAGCAGTGACATGAAGATCAGGCAAAAAAAATTCTACAGAGCCTTAGGCTGTGCTGAGAATTTAATGCTGCTAGTTATCAATGTTAGACTTATTAAAAAGGACCTGAGAAATTGAAATTATATTCATACTCATTGTAAAAGCTCTTGAGTTATAATACTTTCCATGTCTTGAGATTGAGGAAGACGAGTTTCCCTCATAAATAATATAAACGAGCTCAACTGAGAACATTTCTTGCCTGTGCTGATACTGCCAGAAGACCCCATAACTAAATTTCAAATTAGACTGTGGAAAAATAGTCTTAGTCACTTTTGTATTTCAATTTGGGTATGCATCCTATTTCCTACACTATGACAAAAATAAGGATATGGTTAGGTGTTCAATGATTAGAAGTTGAAATGCTGGGAAGCAGCGATTAGGAAATATGATGGATTTGTAGCAGGGAATGGTTTAACTTTATAAATATCATAGGGTATTATAGGGCTGCTATAAACTGTTGGGCTTGAAATATAACCCAGGAAATGTGTGGGGGTTTTTTCTGATATACTTATGATGTAAATATTACCAAGGACATATCCAGTGGGAAATTAATAATAGTGACTCCTTTATAGGAGTAGATTTCTCAAAATAAGCTTGAATTTGTAAAGTGGAATCCAAGTGTATACTTGGAAATCTAAAAATAAGTCGATTTCTCAAAATAAGCTTGAATTTGTAAAGTGGAATCCAGGTGTATACTTGGAAATCTGGAGAGGTGGGATGAGGTACAAGGGAAATACTGAAAATTATACAATATTTTGTTTCTACAAAAGTTTTCGAAAATCTTAACATTTTAAAAGTATATGTAATTCCAAAGTTACCATAAAGCTCGGTCTTGAAGAATATCAGAAAAACATAGTTATCATTATTGGACAATAAATTCTGAGATCCATCAAAACTTGAACTTGGTTAATATAGATGGTTTGTATATTCTACATCTAATTATGGGAAGTTGGGATTTATAAATTAGAGAAGATGGACTCTATAATAAAAATCCAAAAATCAAATCCCTAATAAGACATGATAAAAATGTTAAGTCTTTTGAAGGAAGACATCTTAAAAAGGATTGAAGTAATAAAGTGGGTATGCAAAATAGGAATGTATAGACCCAAGCAACCCATTTAGAGTGGGACATGGAAAAGCTTTCACAAATACAGCTTCCATGAGCCCGTAGCAAACCCTGAGAGTATAAGTTAGAGTTGAAATCTGGTGTATCAAGAATCTTGTATCTCTAATCATGATCATTAGCAAGTACATTCAATGAACAGAAAAAAAAACCCAGAAGATTGAAAATTTTTTTTCAATTGCAAAAGTAAGATTAGCCAAAGATCAATGATCAAGTATTATGTATGTGGCACATAGTAACTGCTTAACAACATTTATTGAATAAATGAATAAATAAACCCAGGGTAACTATCAAAATGTAAATATAATTTAGTGATTCATATCCTGAGAAAATGTAGATTCATAAAATGTATAATAAATAAGTTAATAGCAAAGTTAATATTCAAAAGCTTGAAAGTTATATGGACAGACTTATAAATGAGAACCCTAATATACAGAAGAAAATGTTGGATTATTTTTACTATTAGTAAAAAGGCAATCATCAAAAAAAAGGACAAAAAGAGATCATTAGCAATTGTAATAGATGTCACAACTGGGGAGGAAATAAAAATATCTTTGTGTAAGGCAGCAATTGAGAAGTCTATAAATACGTGACCCTTCATGGGGTGATATGAGAAAGAGCTAATGTAAAAGAGATCAGCTTTTGTTTCCTAATTGAAACTAGAAGAGAATGGTACGAGAATGGCAAAAATTCTCACTGTCTCACTACCTAAATAGAGAATAATAACATTTATAAAAACTATTTATAGTCACTAATAAAACAGATTTAAATGTTTTATCCCTTTTGAAACTCTAGAAAAGAGATTATTCACAAGACTAGGAAAAAATGGAAGTGCAAATCACCTAAAACAATGAATTGACAGATACATGCAGAATGAAGCACCTAATTATTTAATATGCAGGAGGGACTTGGTTAATTAATTCAAGGTTTTTGCACAGTTATCCATGAGGCTAAACTCTATCTTGTTCCTTTTTGCTTGGTAATTGTGATGGCTTAATAATTTAACAAGTAATAGGGTTAAATAATTAGAAGGGTTAAATAACTATACCAAACACCACTAAGTTGACATAAACAAAGCAATTAACCCAGATCTTGGTTCACTTCTACAGATGAGCAAGTTACATTATGGTTTCCAAATGATTTCTTTGTGGGTTGGACAAAGGCCAAATGAAGCTCTACCCCTTCCTGCCCAATGCTGAACCCTGGGTTCCCAGAATGAAAGTAAATAGAGGATTAGGGGCATCAGTAGTATGGGGAGCAGTACCTTCATGATAAAGAAGAGAAGGATGATGATGACAACGTTGACCCGGGGGTGAATCCACACAGCTGACCGGCCCAGACTCTCAGGGTCCCCTGTATGTTTCACCCATGTATTGTTGTCAAACAGAGTACTGATGGCCTCACGGGGCATCAGCTGGGAGAGAAAGAAGCAGAAGGAGCAGGTTCTCCACGGATGTACTCTGCTCCCTTTGTTTAGAGAACTGGTTCCCCAGTCTCATTATTCAAGGGTCCCTTTTGCCCTTTTTGGGGGGAAGAACCTAGAGATTCTACCTTGGGCAAAACTACTTGTGCTCTGAAGCCCGGTGGACTTAGGAGCTGTTTCCTCTTTTCTATGTGGCCCAGATCCTGGCTTAGTAACCTAGTCATGTTCTCAGTAACCTGACCCCCACCCTCAGACTCCCCTAGAGCTGACCTCTCCAGCCATGAATTGACCCATTCCTGGTGGAAAGGTGAGTGAGGCGATGACAAAGGTAACAATTCCAGGATACAGCAGGCGGCTGAAAAAGAAACAGAGTTAACCCTCCCCCTAATTTAGCCAGCCCATAGTGAATACCACACTGAACTATGGCGGTGGTCCCTGATAGTATCAGTTCTTTTTTTTTTTTTTTGAGTTGGAGTCTCACTCTGTCGTCCAGGCCAGAGTGCAGTAGCATGCTTACGGCCACTGCTGCCTCAAACTGCTGGGCTCAGGTGATCCTTCCATCTCAGTCTTTCAAGCAGCTGAAACCACAAGTGTCCACCACTACGCCTGGCTAATTTTTTGATTTATTGTAGAGACAAGGTCTCGCCAAGTTGCCCAAGCTGTTCTCAAACCCCCGGGCTCAGGCAATTCTCTCACCTCTGCCTCCCAAAGTGCTGGGATTACAGACTTGAGCTACCACACCCGGCCTCGTCTCAATTCTTTAAACAGATATCACTCTTTTCGCAAAGAAAGAATTTTTTTTTTTTTTTTTTTTGAGTTGGAGTCTCACTCTGTCTGTCGCCCAGACTGGAGTGCAGTGGCCGCTCCCGGCCACCACAGCCTCGACCTGCTGGGGCTCCAGCGATCCTTCCGCCTCAGCCTTCCAAGTAGCTGGAACCACAGGTACATGCTACCACACCTGGCTAATTTTTTATTTATTGTAGAGAAGAGGTCTCACCAAGTTGCCCGGGCAGGTCTTGAACCCGCAGGCTCAGGCAATCCACTCACCTCAGCTTCCCAAGGTGCAGGATTACAGGCTGAGCCACCGAGCCAGCTTCCTGGTTGTTTTTGGTTTTTTTTTTGAAAGAAAGAATCTTAAAAGGGGAGACCACATAACTCAGTCCCTATCTGCAATATCAGAGTTTCCTAATATTCTAATAAAGGCCACCTAGAGGCATTCAATGCCTTTCACAAAGGTTTAAAAAAGAGAGGAACTCTTGGCACAACCAGAGAGTAAATGGGTAGGGCAAAAGAAGGGCAGTGACTCACTGCTTAGCAAGAAACTGGCTGAGGGCCTTGTGCTTTCGGACTCCAAGCATGACTTGGCGATGCAGATACACAAACACAGCTCCCAGGAACCCACAGCAAATCCTGAGGGTGTAATATAGAGTTGGAACTTACAGACATAAAACTCTCATCCCTTGGATAGAGTCACTGCATGGAAACAAATCACCGGGCTTCCGCCTTTCCTTTTTACCCACCTCCCCCCAGTAATTTGCCCTACCCACACCCACCCCACCTTCTTTCCAGCTTGGGTCCCTTCCAATCCATAATCTCACCCCACTCCCTGTTCGCCACACCCGGAGCAGGTAACCCCACTGACCCGATGACTGCAAAGGCTGGGAGTTCCTGCAGGTCAAAGGGGAAATCCATTCGGAAATTGGTTCTGAACAGAGCAGTGATGGTGACTATGGGATGGAAAGGCAAGGATTACTGTGGGAGCCTCACAGAAGCACAGGGAGACAGAGGTCATCTGTTTTAAGAACGAATTATTTCCTTTCTCCAAGTCCAATTTCTCCTCTTCTATTTAATTTCCTTTTTACTATGCACATTCTCCCATGGTTGTACTCCCCTATTCCATGACTATATCCTTATCCTACACCCTCCGGCCTAAGTCCCATTCCCCAGATAATGCCTTTTCTGAATTGGCCCACAGACCTTCCCTCTACGCCCTGTTACTAGCATCTCTCTTTCACATGACCTCCACCCCAGCCCCCTATTACCAGCATCCTTGTTCCACACTGCCAGCACGCGGAACACAAAGGCACTGAATGTGGCTGCAAAGAATCCTCTCCAGTAGTTTCGAACGGCGAAGTACGTAGAGGTGACCTCGATGCTAAATAGCACTCCTGTGGGGCCAGGGAAATGGAATCAGGTGCACACAAAAGTGAGGGCACTCTCCCACATTCCCCACGCCTGGTTCTGAGGAGCTTCTACTGAAATCTGAATCTGGGCAGACACAGTAGTGGCAAGCAATTTCTTGAAGTGCCATACGAGAAACCACACACCCGCTCGAATTTATTTTTACTTTTGCGAGCCAGGGATATGGTTCAAGAAGACACAGAGAAGATGGAAAATTAAATGGGCCCTCAGCCCCACAAACATGAGTATCAAGTCACTGTGCCCTCTCCATCCTTCAGAATGTAGGGTTGAATAGGGTTCACAACTGTCTGATATTCAGAGACTTAAAAGTAATGAAAAGGAAATTGCAGAAAAGTTTAAAAAGAGAAAGCTTCCCGACAGAGTGGGTGCTCAGCAGAATTGCCAAGCAGAGATCAGGGTTTATAGAAACTCCCCTTAATATCTCTTAATATCCCTTTCTAGAGTGTATACCCCCGGGGTATACACTCCGTATACCCTGGGGCAACATTATAAGGAATGAATAAGAGAAATAGGAGGAAGTTTTGTAAGAGTTGACAATATTCAATATTTCAAGAAAAGAAAGCAAAGGAATTATACAAAGTATTTTAAAACATATACATTAAAAATCTGATTTAAAAAAACTAAATCAAAGGGAAAAACCAAAAGGCTAAAAGAAAATAAAAACAATCATGCTTAGGAAAGGCGGGTGAGGTAAACACAAAGCTCAGTAGTCTTAAGCAGTACTGCTTCTGAGAGTCGGCGCTGGAGCAGAAAACAAGGGGGCAGAGATCTACAGGATAAGAACTAGGGTTGGTGGGGACAAAGGAAGAACAAAAGGAGGGCATAAAAAGCAACGTTCAAGAGATGCAAAGAAAAAAGATCCTTAAATGTATTAAGCACAGGAGGTTGGACTTTGATTAGATGCAAAGTAAAAATTGATTACAAAACTACCTAAAACCGAGCTAAGCCTCATCTTTATCAAAAACGAGTAAGGAAAACCAGGGAAATACAGCATGTAATTCGTTGAATGGAGATGCGGCCTGGCCTCAAGAAACCACAACTAAACGGGCTGGTCTCTCTTCTCTCCACGAGAACAGTTGCCTGCCTATGCTCCTTCTCCTGCTCCTCTTCAAGCAGGATCTCACATCCTAGTCATTGTCTTCTCCCTCTTCCCTATTCAAGAGCCGATATCTCTTGAATCTCTCAGGACCTCTACCTTCGCTTGTATAGGTGGCTGTCAATTACAGCGAGTCATTCGAGCCAAGTGGATGGTGGCCCAACGGTTACGCCCTCATGGAGCAGCTGCTATATTTTGGCAGAGGACGTCTGTGGTCAGTTCCAAGTCACCTTGTCTGAGAAGTCATCTCCTATCCTCCTCTTCAGGTAGAAACCTTCATGCTGTGCTCTCAGAATTTGGGGCTACTAGAGCACTTAGCACTTTCTGATCCAGTTATTTGTTTACATGTCTGAGTTCCCCCTAGGGCTAAAAATTCCTTGGAAACCAGAACCTTGCAACAGTGCCTGGAACATACTCAGGGTTTACTGCCTATTCTAGGGGTGAGCAGGAGAGAAGAGGAAAAGATAAGAGGAAGAAAGAGAAGAGAGAAGAGAATGGATGGAATTTCAGAAAGTGGAGCATGGCAATGGGCAATCTGGGGCAGACAGAGCCCTTCTGCCCTGCTCTTCCCCTTACACCAGGTAAGGCAGCTCTGCCCTTGGGACCTAAAAGAAGGATTTGACACAGCAGGAATCAGGTGGAGTGAGTTTCTCTTCTTTTCTTCACCAGTGACAAAAGTATTACCAGGTTTGATTTGCCTGGGTGTAAACTATCCGATTTATGAATATTTTACAATGATTTCTTTCCCACACTGTGGTTCTGGGACACTTTCCCTAGCAGTCTGTCACTGTATGCTCCAGAATGAGAGCTAATTTTAATATTAGCCTGAGCCAAACATAAAATGTGCTGCTAGAAGGAAACAAAGCATTAAAAACACAAACAGCGTTTGGAAACTCTCTCATTCCTTAAGTTTTGGAACATTGCTCTCTTCTCTCACTCTGGATTCCATCTCTCTCTTCTCTGCCACGCCTGTGCCTCTGCCCGACCCAGGGCTTTGTTCTTGGTCTCCTATTTTTGCTACTCACAGGCACACTTTCTCTCTCAGTTTCATGTATACTCCTGGCATCAATTGCACCTAATGCTACCCATTAGCAAAGCTATGCTTTCCACTCCACTTCCTGAAATTCAGACTGCCCACTTGATATCACCTGAATAGGCCACAGGAACTTAAAACTCAATATGCTCCAAGCGAAATCTATCAACTCCCCCAAGACCTGTTTCACTTCCCACATTTCCAGTCTTGGTTACTGACACGCTACACACCCAATTGCCACGTAGGACGCCTGCATGTTAGCCTAGATTCTTCTTTCTCTCTTATTCCTCACAGTATCACATAAAATTAACCAACAGACTGCATCAATTTTACTTTTTATTGTTCACATATATCATTCTCTTCTCTATCTCTTCTGTCTCTGCCCAGTCAGTCTCTTATCACCTAGCATCAGAGTTATGACAATCGTCTTCTTGTTAATCTTAGATTAATCCTGCTAATCCCAGGCCAATTCTATCCTGTGCATATCTGCCAAAGGGATTGGGTGAACATTCAAAGCTGAACATGTCACTTCCTTGTTCAAAATTCTGTCATGGCTTTACTTCACCCTTGACAGTATTTCCTGAAATCAGTTTTGTGAGATACAACAAATCCCATGAGGTAGTCCCTGCAAAAAGGGTTCTGTGGGATATGCTCCATGAGAGACACATTTTGGATATTCACACTGCATGCCAGCACATCAAACTTCTGATAACTTTTCAGCTTATCAGATAACTTTGTCTATTACAAAAACAGGTAGTTTTCTTAACCAAACATGTTCTAATTGATTTTACCTTAGAACCATTTTTACACATTACACTTGGGCAAATCCTAGCCTAGAGAATGAAATCTACATTCTCATGCCTGGCCTGTGAGGCCTTCATAATTAAGCCCCATTTACCTGTCCAGTTTAATTTCCTGTTATTCCTTCCTCCACGTCCCTAGTGGTACTCACCTACCGTAAGTAAAATTCCCAGATCTTGACTTTGCAATGATGCTTCTTCTGTCCAGAACACCCCAACCTCGCTGTCTTCCTTGCAAGTTCCTACTTATCACTTAAGCCTCATATCAAATACTACCTCTTTTGTGAAGCTTCATGGTTCCCTACCCTGTTTCCCTTAGCAGAAGTTTCCCACTGCACTTTGCTCAGGTTGCTACTGAGACACTCTTCGAGTGGGCTGGGATGATCTGTTTGCCTGCCTGTCTACCCTGTAACCACGAGCACCCTAAGCATGCAAAAGCCAGCACAGGACCTGGCCCATAACAAAAGCAAAGTGCTTGTTGTTTTAGTAGAATATTGAATTCTATTTCTCTCATTAAGAGGTGACTATGTAGTGAATAAGTTATTTTAATACTATTTTCTTCTTTCAGAATTATTCAATATTCATAACAAATTAATCAAGTAATGCCACCTGCATACACATTTATCATTTACTACTTAACACCAATGACCCAAACATGGCACATTAACTTTAAAGTGCTTAACAATTTCTGTGTCAAGAGCAATGTTGTTTTTTTTCTGTAACTTTCCTATGGCTTCTACCTTTTCCATTCGTGACACAGGACCAAGAAGAACCTTACTGATTCATCTCAGAAAATCCAGTTTTATAACCAAAAAATGCAAATTTTTTCACTTTAAAATAATCTGACTGATTAAAAACAAAACAAGACAAAATTCTTTCTGTTTAAAAATATTCTTTAGACTTTGTGGATGTGGAAGTCTAAAGAGTAAATAAAGGCAAAGCTGGGTATAAACATAAGTGTGAATGTTTAACACGTGTTGAAATTCAAACACACTATCCTTCTCTGATAGGGACTAATGACTCGAATGACTCGAGCTGACGACAGACGTGCAAACAGAATGCCAGCATGCTTCGGCATGGTGTTAGCAGAAGTTAGCATGGTGCGTTTTCATTGACTTTAAACTCTTAACCATATATCATTTCTGAGCCAAGTCATTTTAGCTACCTGCAAGACTCTATAAAAAGACTAATTTCATTTTCATAATTTCCAACAGCAGGCCATTTAAGAAGCATATGCCATTCCTGCAATTTTGTTTCTTCGGTTGTCAACTTGGCATCCTTTTTGTCACCAATGTGTCCAATGCATGATCCATATAATCCCGATCCTGTTAATCTGGCTACAATTGATTTTGATGATACAACTATTTTCTCTGCCCATGTTCATTTGTTAGTTATCCACAATAAGGAAAACAGTCTGGAAGATTACTGTTTGCCTTATATGTATAGAAAGAGCTAAACTGAACTTTAAATTGCTACCAAGGAGCAATTATTCTTTAAAACTTCAAGCATGGAGTGCAATGGAATGATCATGGCTCACAACAGCCTCGACCTCCTAGGCTCAGGTGATTCTTCCACCTCAGCTTCTTGAGTAGCTGGGACTATAAGCACACGACACCATGCCCAGCTAATAACTTCTCATTTAAAGCTTACCATTAATCTAAATAAGGCCCACCTAAACTCTCAGGTTCTTAATAAAAACTACAAAATATAGATCTTCCCTTGAAGAAGGAAGTTCATAGCAACGGCCATTATGAGATATAATCAGTGCAGAGCAAAAAATAACCAACAATACAAATAGCTTTTAATATAAATAGGGGAACCACAAGGCTGGCTTGGTTTTCATTCCTGGCTCTGCAACTACTAACAGAATAACCTTGCTCAAGTCACTCACCTTCTCTGTAATTCAGTTATTTCCTCTCCCTCCTCTCTAATATCTGTCTTAGACAGCTTTTGCAGGAATGAATGTAACGTTCTTCGATCATCGCCAGGTACATCACAAGTGCTCGACTAGAAGTTAGCCATTCTTGTTATAATAAGTAACCTGGTAATGCCAGCACTTGTGGATGCCGACTAAAACTGCTTTGGAAGCCAGGCCAGGAAAGGGGACTGATATGGAAAGGGGTCAATCACTTGCCTCCAAGTGGTGTTCCAAAACAACAGCCAACTCCTACAGCACAGCCCACCGTCAGGATATCAGTGTAATAGTATGGCTGCTACTGGGGGAGAGACAGACAGAGAGACAGGTGGAGGAGAGGGAAGGGGGGCAGATAGAGGGCAGGAGAACAAGCAGGGATAGGGAGTAAAGCAGGGTGAGAGGCCTAAGCCACAGGGAGGCATTGTGGTCCTATTACCCCCTGTGATTCCCAGGCCAAGAGAAATTCAGTGAGTTTGGCAAACAGGAAGTGACCTCATAGCACAAGGTCAAAAGTAGAAAATGAAGTAAGAGTCAGGCAAAAATATGTCAGGCAGGGAAATTGACAAATGAGGACCAGAGAAGGGCTGCAGATGGGGACATTCTTGGTAAGAAGTGGCAGTAGCAAAAGAGACTGCAAGGACTTCAGAAGGCAGGACCAATAAAGCCTACATGAAGCAACAACCAATCTCAAAAGAACACAAAGCCCTTCGGTGGAACAATACAAGTGTCTGGAGCCCACAGGCTGTGATCCATGGTCACTTCCTGGATGCCCACCCCAAAGCTTGTGGCAGCCTCCCAAATCCCCTTTCCATATCTTGCTCAGGCAACTGGGGTAGGGAGGAAGTGAAACTTGCCTCCAACAGGGGCTGCAAAGCAGCATCCCACGCCCACTGCGCAGGCCGACACCAGGAGATCAAGCTGCCCAGGCACGGTCTGCAACAGAGAAGCACGCGGGACAAGGAGGGCGGAGAGCTGGGGCAGGTGGGCAGCACATAAGGAAGATGGGGTGGAGGATCCGGAGCTACAAATTGGCAGGGGCAGCACAGGACGGAAACATGGAGGGAAATCGACACAGAGTGGACGCCGTGGACTAGCAGAGGTAGCATGGGAACAGACCATAGGCCAGGCCACCATGTCGGGACAAAGATCAAGAAGGGGTGGGCATTAGGAGGCCAGGCACAGGCTAAACAGAGGCACTTTGTGGCTGGAGAAGGGAGCATGGATTAGTGCGATGCCCCTTCAGCACCATGGCCAGCCCAGAGCAGAGGCAGCCCTCCGGACACCCTGACACACAGCTGATTCCTTCTCCCAAGTGGCCCCGCCTCATTTCTCAACCTTACCTCATACACCCCACAGAACATGGACATGAATTTGCTGAGGACGGCAGCACAGATGCTGGCAATGTGGACGAAAGGGCCCTGGGAGAGAAAGACGGCGAGGGGTCAGGAGCCAGAGGCCCCAGGTGGAGGCTTTGTGGCACTTGTTAAACTAATACTCCCTGCTCCAAGTTCCACAAATACAGAAGTAAGAGATGTCCTCTCCTCACGGAGCTTCGTCCCAGAGAGGAGGGAGAGGAGAGATCAGATAATGCCAAGGGCTATGAAGAAAATCAGAGTGAGGAAGGAGACAGACAGGGTGAAAGAGGGTGGGAGGGGTGTGTATTTAGAGAAGGGGGCCTGCAGACGATAACAATTGAGTAGTATCTTGAATGAAGTGAGGGAGTGAGTCACATGGGCATCAGGAGGAAGAATGTTCCAGGCTGAGGGAACAGCATGTGCAGGAGCCCTCAAGGGGAACCAGCACTGAGTGAATGAGGATCAGGAGGAAAGTCTTGGAAACCAAACACAGGGGAGCAGGGGCAGGAACCTGGAGTGACAGGAGGACTCAGAGCCTCGGGTTCTTGGAGGCCATAATAAGAAGTTCAGATTTTATTTGAAGTGGTATGGAGAACCATGAAGGAACCATGAAGAAGTTCTTGACCAGAGGTCAGACATGACTGGTTCTAATTTTTTTTTTTTTTTTTTTTGGTCAGGGTTTTACTTTGTTTCTCAGGCTGGAGTACAGTGGTACAATCACAGCTCATTGCAGCCTTTACCTCCTGTGCTCAGACAATCCTTCTGCCTCAGCCTTCTAAGTGTTTGGGACTACAGGAGTTCACCACCATGCTTGGG